TTCCCTGAAGTTTTACTTGGATTTCGTTCATTTTTTAGAAAATATCCGTGAGGTACGCAGTTTCCAACTAGCGTTGCTTCAAACTCTCACTTAATACAGGATCAGTGGTCTCGAGAAACTCAGTAAGCAAATCCAGCAGTTCGAGGAAATGGCTCAGTTTCCTTTTGAAAGCCATCTCACAGCTGTATGCAGGAGCAGGAATTCGAAATCTTCATCATTTTCATATCAAAGTTCTCGGAACAAACGGTTATTAGGAGAATTAGCTTTTATTTTATTGATGCCAGAAATAACCAATTTTTCGCAGCCAAAAGTTGACGATGAATGACATAATGAATGGTGAGATAACTTCCGGTACTTCTTTTTTAAGGTGACCCAGAAACCCAGTATGACGACCAGACATGGTTGGAGCACCATCTGTTGCACAAGCACTTACATTTTGTGAGTGGAATTTCTTTTACCTCAAAATAATCATTGACCAATTTAAAAATCGCGATCCTTTTGTATCTGTGTTCAAAGTTCTTGTAAACAACATTTCCTCGTTAATCTTCTTACTCTCATTTATGAATCTCACTTAAGCTAAAACAGCTTTGCTATCTATCACAGTTGATTCATCAATCTGCAACGCAAATTTACCTTCTATCAGAAATTTTATGAGTTTTAATTCAAGGTCGGCGGCCATCTCATCAATACGCCTGGAAACAGTATTATTGTTCAGAGGACCAGAGTGACTTATCAGATTTCCGCCTGCGATACCAAATAGTATGACGAAAACGATCCTGCACTTGAATTTTTTTTAATTTTTAACTATCATAGTTCTTTGTCTACACCAGAACCATAGGTTTCATATATATCTTCAATTTCAATCTCAAATAGCGTTTATTATTAATATTATTAGCAATTTTTATTTTTTGAGGACTCGTCGCCCCCTGATCGCCCCCCTAAAGATTATCGCCCCCTTGAGAAGCTCCATCTCCCCCTTTGGGGCGATCGCCCCCAGGTTGGGAACCACTGAACTAAGTCAATCTATCTACTCTTTAAACCAATGAGAAAATTCTATTTTTTAGTTTCTCTGGATGAAAAAATGTAAGACTGTCTTCGTAGTTCGTTAATAATTATACTCATTTTGCTTGATGCTAAATATCGTAATTTTTGTGCCTACGGTATTTCCGCCACCCTGTATGCTAATACAAACGCACGGACATACCCACGCACATATTCTTTGTTTTATTAGATGTGTAGGATATCAGAGATGGCAACTTTCTCCAAATAACGAATGCATATATTCGAGTGGTATTCTTTTAGTGCATGATTCTTGGTTTATTAAATTCTATTTATAGGGCTTTTATTCTCCATTACTTCTAAATAATTCTAAACATTAATCATTTGTTGCAGTTAAACCGTGCTGAGTCTTCTAAAACGTCGGCAAAAATAACCAAAAATATGCAAATTTTAGCTTGTAGTATTTCACCTTTTTTTTAGAAAAAAGTTTATTGCTGTTTTACAGGGTTCCTTAGAGTTAGATTTTTTTAAAAAATCTTTAAGGGTTAGTAAAATTTGTAAGTATATTTATCTGAACAAAAAATCCATAATTTGTTTAATATTTCGGGTAATTTTGTTTATTATTAAAATAAAATACCAATGAAAAAGAAATTAATATTTTTTTTAGAAAAATCCTACAATTTATTTAATTAATTTCGAAAATGATATGCATTTATATAAAAGTATGTATTAATTTTTCTCATCGAACCTAAACTAAAGTACCTTAAAGTGAACTAACCAAATTTAAGAGTAGTTTTCAGAGAAAAAGAAATCTAGTCAGTTTGCAGAAAAAGTTTTTCTGAAAGCTACTTTTTTGCTGAAACCATATTTCAGCTTATTTCATTTATTTTCACCATAAACTAACTCAGAACTAAACTAGAAACCACTCCAACACCCATGAATTCAACTGCCTGACATGAAACCTAATTTTAAAATTTTTATTTCTTAACCAATTAAAAAACTTTTTAAACTGATCAGTAATCTTTCAATCGTTGATATGGATCGACAGCTGCTAATAAACTTAATTTATTAAGCCAGCGTCACGGTTCCGTCAAAAGAAAATAGATCACATAGTGTTCCATTGCCGAAAAAAATTGGGAACTGGTGCTTTAAACCAGTAGCTCCCAACTTTTTCAGTGGATAACCAATTTAAAAAAAAAAAAAAAACAAAAAAAAACGAAAAACTTTAACGTCTAACTATTTAAAGTTCCAGTTAATAATATAATGACAAATACACATCTATTATATGGGTATGACGAATACGAATAAATTTACGATGTATACAAATAATGTACACATATGTCAGTAATGGGCAAAAACATACTGCACAAGAATAAAGAGAAAGTGCGTGGAGTCCCTCCGCGCGGAAGAAGTTAAACTTCGCAACCTGCGACGTTAATTGTAGAAGAATAAGCAGTCGTAGAAGGATCACTAGTTCTATTCAACGACTCTTTTTCCTGCTCGCTTCCGTGCTCTGTAATCACGGTAATATTGAGCATTTTTCCCTCGTGGACCTCTTGAACCAGTGGAAGTGCTTGTGGTTGCCTCATCGTCTCGACCTGGAAAATGTATTCGCATTAATAATGTATGTGAATGCGTCATAATGTAATTTCA